TGCGCGCCGACACTTCATCTGTGATGCGTCCGCCGGGTGAGATATAGCTGCCTAGATAGCAATATTTGTCTACTTCCTCTACTACTTCCCCAGTTAGGGTGAGACTGGGCGCTGGATCAACCCAATCTTGTAGTAGCATTTTACACTTTTACACTCACCGCAGAGGTCACAACAGCTCTGATTAATGGTTCGTTGCATTGTTGCACCATTCTCAGTTGTTGGAAGATCACTAACAGTGTTTCTATACCCACGGAAATATCACTGACCACACTCAGAACGATTCCATCCAACCGCACCTACCTCTATGTATTTAAAATTCACTGAGTGTGAACTTAGTTTGCCGAATAAACTCAGTGTTACAAATAGAGCAGGATGTAATCCGGCGCGTTTTCAATGATTTATATTTATGCCATTCCTATCTGTATACCCCGGAACAAGTTGCACAGGCACTTAAGCCCACATGGCCCACTCCACACACCCCAAGAAATCTTGACAATGGGATGAACGATGGTTATTTCATCTATTGAATTTCGTCGTCTACTGAGTATACGACTCTCGCCCCAGGAGAGGTCACTCCAGCAAATAAACGAAGTGAGGGACAGGTTACCGGTCTAAACTAGCCGCTAGATGGACGCGGGAGCAGGCTACGTCCTACGGTGGAAGAAGTCTTCCTACTTCATTGGACAACTACCACCGGCCCAAACTGAACAGCTCCCCAGCGAATATGGTGCTGCCCCATCCACGTTTCACCTGTCTGTCTGTTTCACTTGCATGAGACTAAGAACCAATCCCGAACAGCGGACCGAAAATCAACTCACCAACAAAAAAAGTACCGAACCAAACCGCAAAGACCTTGCATAACAGGTCTCTAAAAGCTCCCAAATGCGTGCTTTGGTCACGCTTCCGCGTTGGATCTACGTCCCACAACCTTGTGCGTATGTTTGCCCTAAAATCTCTCATTCGTCAAGTTCTTCTTCTCATTCCCAAATGTAACGAGATGATTCTTGTTTGCGCCACACATGGGATATCACACTTCGTTCAACTAGTAAGGTCAACCAACCAGAAGCCAACAGCTTTTTGAAATCAGAATATCATTTTCACGGAGCCTCATTTACTGTCCGCACACTCGATCAGATCGGTCAACAAACTGCATTAGCTAGAACTCTTGAAACTTTCCATTTAGATGAGTGCTGTGCCTCCGNATTTAGATGAGTGCTGTGCCTACGAAACACGCATGCTAGACCCTACTTCAATCATCTTGTGATCTCTAGATTCGACCTCATCCTCACGCTTCACTCTCCGTATGTCAGGCAATTTGGCATTCGAAGCTCGCGGTGTTGCTAACGTCGGGATTGCCCCGAGCGTTCACCACTTGACTGAATTCCAGTAAATAGCCGATCGTGCACTATACGTCTGGATGGTTCAGTACGGGTCAACAGCTACAGAACAAACCGTCGATGCTTATTCGTGGTACCTGTGTATACACTGACCGAAAGAAATCAAGGATGAATTGTACAAGGACCTCTCTCAATTGCTGCAAAGCGCTCGGTCGATGAACATCGTGGTAGTCACTGGAAACTTCCATGCTCAAGCAGGATTCCTGAACGAATCAGAAAAGCATCTTGGTGCTACTCATGCAATACCAGGCAAACGGCCGGACTATGGAGAACACCTACTCCGAATTCGGATTATTCAGACGATCCGGCTGAAATAGTAAGTCAACTGATGCACGGGTATCACGTCCGAATGCACATCGACTGGCGTTTAGCAGAAAGTTCCGATGGAGAGCGCGTGCACACAGCAACATTTTGTGTCCTGCATTCGGAGGATGGGCATCACTTGCTATAGACGCAATTTTACTGGAAAACAAACTTCGAACGCCTGCCTGGATGAGACCATCAATATAGCTGCTTGTCTGACATGAAACAAACAATTATTTTGATAATATGACTTCACAACTTACCTCACGTAATAATCCAAATAACACGTCTGTGTTCAATGACCGCTCATGAGCTTCATCCATGATGATTGCGGAGTACGGATCAAGGTCGGATTCCCGTAACGATTCCCGAAGCAAAATACCATCAGTCATGTATTTGATTATTGTTGAGGACGAAGTGCAATCCTCGAAACGAATAGCGTAGCCCACTTGTTCTCCGAGATGCGTGCCCATCTCATCAGCCACACGGCGCGCTACAGACATAGCCGCAACACGACGGGGCTGGGTGCAACCAACCATTCCGTATGTTGTATACCCATCCTCGTGTAAATATTGAGTGAGTTGTGTCGTTTTCCCACTTCCAGTCTCACCAACAATTACAACAATCTGAAAGGAATCAGATCAGAAACGAATAAGAGATACACAACACTCAGTGGTATTTCGTGGTCGTTTTCATTCGACCATCACATGATTCAAAAACTTGTTGAAAGATAAACATGAGCAACGATACTCAACTGCTTTAAATACCCCTCTATTGGCTTGAGAGATAAGAAATTTACGTTGGCGCTTGAGAATTTGCAACTGTTCCGGTGAAACTAAAGAGTTTTGTCACCTTGGAAACAACAACGAATTCGGCTCTAAAAATACGGATGGCTAGCTGGTTTCCCAAAAATGCTATCGTCTGGGACAATTTAGAAATAAATCAACCCGATCCAGACAGGGGAATAACAAGCGCGTAAGCAGTGCATCCGAGGGAAAATCTGGCCTAGGCACTACGAAAACATGACTAGTAATTTTTGTTTTCTTTTTCATGACAGAACTTTCAGAAAGGGGGCAGCGGCCAATCAAAGGGCTGCCATACAACACAAAGTGGGGAAGCCAGGCAGTGGTGGTGGGATTCGAACAACACGGACCCCTGGGCGATAATTCGGTGATCTTACCACCAGGGCATCATCGACCTGGGAAAAACCTGTTGGACAACAATGCAGACGGCAACTGTGGGTTCGATTCGGTGATTCTTCATTTTTCAGAAATACTTCGCTAATCCGGAAAAATTGTGAATCGATACTCGCACTCAGTACACCTGTTCTGTTGTGGTGCATTCAAAGATCATTTGCTAACTAATACATCACCTCTAAGTAGGCTAGACCTATCGTAAATGTGACATTTTCAATATTTCAGTTTGAAACACCATACAAGCTATTCAACTGAAACTTTGCAGGAGGCCGATAGTAGTTTTCTTGGCAAGTGCCATCATCTAGAATGTATGTACAGTTAGAATACCTTACTCACACTATGGTCGTAACGGCTTATTGTGCCGTTCTTCGTTCACATAGATTTAGTCCCTGCATGACGCGTATTACGCCTCCCTAAGCCTCCATATGGTCGGGGGTGGGTATCTCGGGTTGTGGTTGTTCACCCTTACATTGCACCTAGAGAAATGCTTCCATACGACCAAGCACCTCAAACAGACTCTGCTGAGGGAGCCTTAATCACTGCCTTCTCGTCGAGGTGCTTTTCCACCAAAGTGAGAGGACGAAAAGTCAACAACCGGTTCTGTGAATCACTGAAAGTTGACCTAGGGGAGTTGACCCCGCTGTTTTGCGGGTTAGGCGTTGGCTAACTGGAGGCTCCGGTTGTGAATTCCACAAGATAATTAACTAGCACTAACGTAGGCAACCTGGCAGTATCGCGCCCTCGAAAAAATCATGGAGTATTTTCAAGCACCTATATGCCGGTTGTGTGAGACCCGACCTCAGAAATCATTTAAATTTGTGAATGTACGTTTCAAGTGTAAAACTTCCAAGCATTTGAGCGGCTTTCAGGTAGTCCAAATAGTGCAGCATCGGGTCACGTCGGCATGAGAATCACGTTAACGTGAAAGAGTTATTGGGCATTATTGGACTGAATCCCAGGTAAAAACATGTGAAGTCAGATTCGAGGAAACAATTGACGATTTTATACCTGCCTATGTGACAATAAACTACGGTTCTGACAAAAACGTACTCCCCCTCCGTGACTTAAACGGGCTCGAGTGCAAGGCTTATCACAGGGCTATTGCGGTTCTCACTGGTTGGGTCGTTAGCTGCAGCCGAAAGTTGTCTGAGTGAATGACAGTACAACTGATTGACGCAATCACGAGTGATTCTTACAAGTGTACATTGATAATTGAATGCTTCCGTTTTTTTTCAAAATTCGGATATACCTTCCGCCCGATTATAACCTAGCGTTCGCGTACTTTAGGTACGCAAAGGAAACAAATCGACCGCAAACCTGAGTTATCGATAGCCGAGCTGTGTTTTGGAGCACACTAGTAGAATCTGACCAAACTCATACTACCACAACATTCCGATGTAACGTAACAACGACAATTCAACTTGTATAAATCTGTGCCACACATGGCATTCAAAATGCGTTGCACTATCCACGAAAGAGTATGTTTGCAACTCTCAGAGTAGTGCTGCTGTATGGTTCTGAAATATGCCTGACTCGGGGGTAAGACGTATCAAAACGTGTAAGGTTTCCATGGTGAATATTTGGGCAGCATTGTCGGTATCAGCACCGACGAGGGCTGACGCGCATTTATGGATTTGCTACGGACAGGCGGACATTTGGTGCTATTTTCTCACATGACGACTTGCGCTAGCTCGGTCAAGTCTTCAGAATATCCGCCTGCAGCCAACTATCAAGCGGGTCACTATTCGCTAGTGGTGCACAAGACTGGAAGAAACTACCAGGTGAACAGCGAATAACGTGGACGGGATGAAAAAGCACACAAGCCCATGAGCTTCAGTTGGTTGCTTCAATTTTCTACCAGGGCACATAAGGATGATGTTTTGTGGTCAGAAGCATTGCCACATATGGCTCACAAACGTTGACGGTAGCAAACGTGTTATTCAAATTACTCTGTAAGCCTCTATACTTTCTATTTCTTCATCAATTTGACCAAATTCCTCGTGGATCCGTAGTACATAGGTCTAATCAGGTGAGGTTTTGTGAAATTTAATAATACGATAACACAAACGTGGATATACAGTCACCTGTTCGATTAGACAGGTATGTTCAGAAGACTCTAGATGTTGGCACCCCACCCCAAGGGATTACAATCAAACCAACAGGAGTCCGAGAACTCCTCGTCTGATTGTATTGTGCGTAAGACTTGTCTATCAAATCATCCTCTTGCTCTTGATTGGACGATCACTGATACAGCAATCGATAACACTGACGAACGCGTTTTGTAACCATCTTCTGTTCTGTGCAGAATATTGGCACCGAATATTTCAAGCTAGAAATTAAATATGCAACACATTAGTTCAACGAAGCAAAATAGATTAGTTAATCAGGAAACCAGTTGGACCCTTCATTGATAAACTAAGCCCAAAAGATGATGACACAAAACAAGCACTTGCCTGGTGCTCTTTGATCATCCGCAAAAGGGACGAACGGACTGAAAACACGGGCAAATACTGTCTTTGTTCCGTAAGTGTTTTCTGGGTGGCAAATTCACTGACTGCTTCAGATTTCATGTCACCGACCTTGTCCGCAAATGTCTGGGCTTGGCGATGAGAATCAGCATTCCATTGGTCATCGGCTTCTTCAGGTGCTTTGATTCCCATGACCTCTCCAATTCGTGTTCCCGCTAGCTGCCACTCCTTTTTCTGAGCTCGTTTGCGTTCCTTTTGCTCTCGGAAATAACGGACCATGGCACTCCCCTTTTGAGCTACTTTAGCCATTATGCAATCCGGATCCTAATGCAAACAGAATAATAAAAACAGCGTTTATCAACTCAAATGGGAATACTGAGCCATTTACATAGGTGGAACAGAAAGGCAGTTATGTCACCGAGCGATGAACGATAAATTCGAAGGGATTATACCATCCACTGGATAAAATGAATTTAAATCTTCAATTAAAAATATGTAAGAAAAGAAACACTGTGTCACTGTGACCAACCCGCTTACGGTGATTTACAGCATAACAATTAGCAATCCTGTCTTCATCTTACGTTTGTTATTCGGAAATAAAATCCACTTGAGTGCAAAATGAACGTGTATGGAAGAAGCGAAATGACTACGGATACATTGTGCAAATCCATGTATGCGGTTTGTCCACCCAAATTTGTAACGAGAAGACAGAGTCTTGAAATAATAAATTGTTCCAGAACACTTGGGGAAATAGCGAACTAGACCTAACTGCAACAAAACAAAACAATCATTAACGGTTTATTACGCGCTGTTGTGTAGGTGTACAGGGTACCCGGTAGGAGTAGCACCTCTGACTCGGAGGGCTGTCGGTCGCTTAGGAGCATCCTCATTTCTTTCGTCTCCACTAGGCGCTCAGCTCTCACCTGTGGCTCAAAGAAGCTATCTGGATGCAACAGCGGCCACACCCCAGTAAACCGCTCAACAGGTGGGACGAACCAGGTTGAGAATAAACGGGAGCTCAACTCCCGGCGAGTCAGTTTATAACGAATGAATGCGGTACTAGCGCGTTGGGCGGATGAAGTCGCTTGCACGACTTAACGGTCAAGGAAATGACTCCGTACTTACCAGGGATACATGGACCTCAGTACAGCTAAGGACTGTCAATGAAGTATGAGCCCCCCGCCCTCAGAGGGCCACCGGCAACCATGCACTACCTTCCTGCAGTCTTGCAGTTAGCACTTGGATGTACGAAGTTTAGAGGTGGTTCCTCGACTTAAAGCCGAGTGACACTGAAGACGTTTCATAGAACATCCATGAAGCCGGATTATCGTCTCCCAGGAGCCAATCACCGTAAATTAAAGTTAGTTGGAAATCAAGAGGGGTAAAAACCAAGGTCTACAGGACCTGGTATTCACTTATTGGAACCAGCGACCCAAGCCCCGAGGAGTGAAGAGTGACCCCCAGGAGGATAATTTCGGTTAACAACCAGTAAACTTGAAGTTTCGTGTGGCGATTTGGGTCCGTGCTTGTTAAACGTGAGTTTTTTACAACGTCTAGAACCTATGAATCATTGAACAAAAATGAAGATGAGAGGCAATCAGTGACTTGCAAACATAAGCACGGAAAACTACTTTGGAAGAGAAAAGATGTAGAAAGTAATTCCGATTGGAAATCTGTAGTATTGTTTATCGGTCATAAGCAAAGCAAGCGAAGATGCACTGAGAATAATACAGCACAACCAATGCGCAACGCGACAATTTAGTAATGGTACAGATAGTATTTTGCAATGCTGCTTTTTTGAAGCTTACGTAAGTAGAACGGTTGGACGAAGAACGTTAAACATGAGATAGTGTGCTATTGCGTTGGAAGCGGTAACGGTTTTATCTTGCCCGATTTCAGCACTGATGATATTTGTCAGTGTTGGTCTTTATCTTCTTCAAAATTTTAATGAACATGGATTTGATAATGATTATGACTGATCATCCTTCAAACTTCATCTTAACACATAATCCTCAATCAAGTTGTCCTGTCAACCGTACACTCGGGAGACCCAGAAAACATGCCTCGCTCTTGTTTGTCCCCATCAATCTTGCATACCAACCACCGGTCTGGAGCTGAAACTCTACCGTATTATACAACCCAAAACCGGGGCTGAGTAAGATTACCGACTTAAGTGTGACTAGATATCGTCTTAAATGACAGTCAGTCAGTTCGAAGCGGAACACTCTGATCACCTTTCGACTCCACCACCAGCCGAGGGACTCAGTGGACACTTGACGGTAATCAAGGAAACGATCCAAATGTAGATAAAAATGGCGGATTAGAGTGCACCATCAAAACAAAAACAATGGATCTCCTCGACCTCGACTGCATGCAGGACGCTATGAGAGCCATTCCTCCCGATTCCAAAGGGCATTAATCCCTTAAACGTCAGCTCATCATGGGCCTAAGGAATGACCACGAGAATTCCTGGACAAAGATGGAAAAGGCTGCGGCAATCGGTAATACTCGCAAAGAAAGCAGAGGTGCGAAAATTAAGGAGCCTGACTGCACATTGATTCAAACTCAGCAACTTCATTTTTAAAGAAGGACAGGACATTTCAAGGTACAGTTCAGCTGATCCTCGTCGACCACGACAAACCTGATTCAACCGGACAAATAACGCCATAAAATACAGTCCTCCATCTGGAATATAGCTTACCCGGGAAATCAGCTATCACAAGACATAAGGCCTCCGGCCCAGACGGGCTCTCCCCATCCGTTTTTAAAGATGGAGGTTTAGCATTGGTTTCGAAGTTAACGAAACTCCTGGGCCCAGTGTGAGAGAGACAACAGGTTCCAGCTAAATGGTGTGAATCGGTCATCATACCAATTGACAAGAAAGGTGACAGATTCTCTTGTGAAAACCACAGAGGAATTAGTTTAATCAACATTGCTTCCAAACTTCTTGCCGGCATCATACTCCGTCGACTGTCTGCCGCACGTGAAAAGTGCACGCGTGAGAACCAAGCTGGTTTTAGACCTGGTCAAGATTGCATCGACCACACCTTCACTGTTCGTCAAATCCTAGAACACAGACACTCCTTTCATAGACCCACCATTTCCATCTTTCTGGATCTGAAAGAGGCTTTTGACTCAGGCGACCGCTCTAAACTCTGGCGCTGCCTTTCTGTGAAAGGTGTGCCCGAGAAGTTTATCTCAATATTACGATTCCTCTATACTCATTGCCGAAGCCGAGTCCGCGCTCACGACACTTTTTACCCGAGTTCACCACGGAAGGTGGTGTTCGAAAGGGTTACCCTCTCTCCCCTTTTCTATTTAGATTTATCATAGATCTGATCATAGAAACAGCCCTATCCTCGTGCGAGGATAGTGGCATCCATTTCCTCCCAGGTAGCAGGCTGTCTGAGTATGCAGAGTATGCAGACGACATTGTGCCACTAAGTGAAGATCCAGGTAAGTTGCAAGCTTCTCTGGATAGTTTGAGTGTTAGTGTAGCCATATTCGATATGGGTTTTGCACCTTCAAAGTGTAAAATGCTACCACAAGACTGGGTTGGTCCAGCACCCAGCCTTACTCTAACTGGGGAAGTAATAGAGCAGGTGGAGAAGTTTTGTTATCTGGGCAGCTACATCTCACCCGGTGGAGACATCACGGATGAAGTGTCAGTTCGCATACAGAAGGCTCGGTTGGTATTTGCCAACTTGAGACATCTGTGGCGCCGTCACGACATCCGACTATCTGTTAAGGGTCATGTGTATGCTGCAGTAGTTCGGCCAGTTTTGCAATATGGAGCAGAAACCTGGCCACTAGAAAAACAGGACAAAGAGAGACTGTCGGTGTTTGAACACCGCTGTCTACGCAGTATTGCACGAGTCTGGTGGGGAACCGGATCATTTGCTGACTCTTATCTCACAATCCTGGTCAGCTCCACCCGATATCCACGGAGAAACAAACTTGATCTCGCCTGATATTTCAAAGGCCTTCGACCGAGTTTGGCACGAAGGTCTATGGGCGAAACTACCCATGTTCGGGTTCCCTCCGGCGTCCGCAGCGTGGATATCAAGTTTCCTCAGCAAGCGAACCATCTCCGTCCGAGTTGATGGGGTTTTATCTCAGCCATTTCGTGTAAACGCTGGTGTTCTTCAAGGTTCAGTACTTGCGCCCACCCTCTTCCTTCTATTTATCAAAGATCTCCTTTCCCAAATTGTCAACCCGATTCATTCTTTTGCGGATGACACTACCCTCCACTGCTCCCTCCCCTACCGCACCGCTCACCATGCCCAGATCAACATCGATGGTGACCATAGTGCAGTTAATGTGTTACTGGACTCCGACCTCGAACACCTCCTGAGGCATTGCAAACCACGTTTCATTAAATAGTTCTAAAACCTCTATTCTTTCAATTTCTTTAAAACGCAACTCATTCTCCCCCCCCCCCCTACCCTCCATTTATCTTCAATTTTACCTTTTAATTTTAACTGCGTTTCACAGACTCTGTTGCCCTTCTTGGATTGTCTATAACTTCTTTATGCTGGTCCCCTTTTAGAGCCAAGCTTGCTTCTCGTGCTGCGCGCCAGATTGGATTTCTATTTCGCGCCAGACGTTTTTTCACTCCAGATCGTGTTGAAAGTTCTCTTGGTCACAACTTTCGGGTGATCTTTCATGCTAACTACTGAGTTAATGATAAGGATTAAATGAAAATCTTATTGTAGTTTCAAAACCACGGCACATAAGATCAAATTGGTTTCGTTCAAGCGATAACTGAGACAATCAGAACACAAATGGTACAATTAAAACGGCAACTTTGTAGAAAGTGTCCGAGGCTGATTGCTGGGAATTTGTTTACCATTATGTATGACGACCCTTAGACAAATACCAAATAAAATTCCGCTTACCTTTACAGGTATCACTGGTTCCGGTTGACGGGTAAAAACTATCCGACCATCCAGGAATGGTGGTAGAATGTTACGCACAAGCAAATGCACTCGGGCCTCGCCCTCTTCATCGAAATC